CTTCTTGTTTTTCAGCTTCTGGGATTTCTTATTACAGAGCTGAGTTGTTGCAGCCTCCTAAACCTCCTGATGTTTTCTTATTGAAGTTATGCTGCCATGATAGAAGAGGGCTTTTACATGGTACATCTTTATTTTTTGTTTCATCTAATTTCACAATTTATTGGTTATGTTGCTGGACTAATAACTTTGCATCAATATTATTTTTTCCCGCTTTAATTTTATTCGGATTCCTTGTAAATTTTGTGATATGTTTGTTTAATTATGTTATTGGTAGGTGGATCATGGACAGAGTCATGGGTCCTTGGTTTGTACTATCTACATATGCCTGAGATTTAGAGCGAAAAAGCGATGATCACAGCCTTTTGAGATTTTATTTGGTCTAATCCAATAGGAGTCCTAATTTTCAATTTGGGGATCAGTTATCCAGCTGATCAAGTATTTCAGTTTCAGTTTGATTCTTGGTTTCCACCCTTACTCCTTGAGTTTGTTGCATTAAAATCCAAGTAATTGACAAGAAATATGAGCTTTTCCATAAGGCACAGTGACTAATCAATATGGATTCTAGATGTCGTAGGCTAACGAGGTCATGGCCTAGTGGCAAAGGCTGAAGGGTTGTGACGCTGTGTACGATAGGTGGCAGGTTCAAATCCCCACTCCCCCATATGTTATTTGTAATGCGGTAATGCCCCTGTGGCTCTGATATAGAGATACTTGTAGGGAAGGGAACTTGTTGGTTAATATCATGAAAAAGATTATAATTATATTTTGTGTAAATTTGCACCTACAATATAATGTTTTTCTACTAATTAGTGTTAGTTCAATGGTGTTCTCACTATTCTGATGGTAAATGGATTTATTGTTCTTTGTCATAAGTGATGCTATTCTCTGACTTTTATATTTGATTTGTTGCATGGAAGATGTCACTGAGGTTTTGTGTGAGCTCGAGCTCAATATACAGAGAGTAAAGGTATCCACAACTCCAGATGGGAAAGTGTTGGACCTCTTTTTTATTACAGACGCCAGGTTCGGAGGACTTCACTTTATTATGTAATTTTTAGTGTGTACTCTACCTAAAAAATCTTACAGTTCATAAGCTATCCCGTTTATCTGCTGTTGTTTTTACTGATCTATAAATCAATAACTACCATTGTTCTATAACATTTTATAAAATATTTTTAAAAGCTAGTGACTATCTTGTTTATCTGTTATTTGGAGCTCTTAAGTAATCAAAGCAAACTTTTTGTAAATAAATCTACAGGGAACTACTGCATACAAAAAAGAGACAAGAGGATACCAAAGAGCATTTAAGAGAGACTCTTGGAGATGATGTGATGTGTGACATAGAAAAGGTCAGCTTAGAAGTTACTGCCTGCTCACAAGCATCTCCGCTTCTTCCTTCTGCAATCATGGACGACACTTTTAACTCTGAGATACCCAATAAATACTGTAATGGAACTGGTCTTTCCAACTGTGCATCCGTCACAATAGATAATACTCTTAGTCCTTCTCATACTCTTGTCCAAATTGCTTGCCAAGATTATAGAGGTCTTCTTTATGACCTGATGCGTACATTCAAGGATTATAACATCCAGGTAAAACAAATGCTTCTTACTCCTTGTGACTACATATTGTGAGTTGTGACAACTTGGCTAACTTTTCTCATTTCATATTAAATGTTATATAGAGATATTAACATACTACAATTTTGTTTGAAATTTCTACGCAATATTGCTGCTATATCCTTTAAATCTAAATAAAAGATTTAATGTCTGTTATTTCTTTTAAACAATAGATATAGATCATGGACTGCAGGGAGTATATATAAAATTGGATTGGAGCTAGACTGCTAGTGCATAACAGTATAATTTATTATTTTGGTTAATAGATCTCTTATGGGCGAGGCACCATGAAGCAGAAAAAGAATTGCGAGATTGATTTATTCATCATGCAAGCTGATGGAAAGAAGATAGTTGACCCTAGCAAGCAAAACGCTTTGCGCTCTCGTCTGTTAATAGAACTAGCTCGACCACTTAGAGTTTCTGTTGTCAGCCGTGGCCCTGATACAGAATTACTGGTTGCAAATCCAGTGGAGATATCTGGAAGGGGGAGGCCTGGAGTCTTCTATGATGTCACCCTTGCTCTGAAAATGCTGAATTTATGCATCTTCTCGGTAATCACTTTGATCATATTAATTTCTTGTTCATACATCTTAAGTTTATAGCAAAAGGTTCTCAACACTTCTGTTTTCTTCATATACCATATTCAGATCACTGACAAAAGCATTTACTTGCAATTTTCCAGGCTGAGATCGTGAGGCATGTCATTGAGCATCGTGAATGTGAAGTTTACCGGTTCTTGCTCCAGGAAGGGGGCTGCTTGTCAGTTTCTAGGAATAAAACTGAAGAGAGGGTATGGAACACATTAATGGGCTGGGAATGATGAGTATCATCATTTTTTTCCCTAAAGGCATGCCTCAGAGTCTGTACATATACACTAAACAACTGTATTTTACATGTAAAGCGTTACCATTACCTACTGAGTTCTGACTTGATGTATAGTTCATGTAAGGTTAAGTAGCAGAGAAGAAGAGAGCTACTGATGGGATGAATCTGTGAAGGAGATAGAGATAGAGAGCAGAGACGATTAGGATTAGTCGATTAGCCTCAGAAAAGTACTTGAATATTTGAAGGTAGGAGAGGGTGGAAGATGTAGTGCCATTGTTCAAGATAGTATATTTCTTTTTCTTCTCTTTATTGGAGGGGAGAGGTAGAAAGGTTCTTGACCAAAGGCATGCATCCTGCTGACTATGCTTTTGCTTGTATATTGTTTTGTTGTGCATGCAATATATGGGAAAAATGATATTTTTACATGTTTGTCTTCAAATTCTTAGTTGTTTTCGTGTACCTAATACATATGCAGGGTTTTTACATCACTAAATCATCAATGCCTTACATCACTACCACCAAAAGTTGTTACAATTGGGGTTACTTAGGAACAGTGTGAACTGTGAAGGTATTACAAAATTGAGAGGAATAGTAATAAAAAGGATACAATATGAATATACACTAGACTTTCAATCTATACAAACTTTAGACATGTGTCAAATAGTACGAAGTATAACAATGTACAAAGTCTAAATGGTTTTACAATTATTCTACGTGTTTATAGTTCGATAAATATATAAAAATCTACAAAAGCAACATAATTAATCATAATCATCATCATCAACATAATTGAAGCTTTCTAACTTGTTAGATGTCCCCATGCCCATTCCAATAGCTTATTATAAGCAATGGAGACATCTAACAAATTAGAGAGCTGCTATTACATAAACTAGAAGCCACTACTACTAGGCTGCTTTTATCATCATAAAAAAAAAGAAAATTGATTATAAGTGACCCATAACATATTATAAGCGATTTTGAATGGTTTTGTATCGATTTTACTAAGGTTACAATTCTACACAAGACCTACATCATTAACTATATTTGGATAATAGTGTCCTACGATCTAATTTACGATTTAACAACGTTTCTATCTCCACCAAAAATTGTGACCACAGATGTGTCATAAACATTGGGACTCATTACTCTCATGAATCTCATGACTTGTAAATCAGGAAAGAGAAAGATTATACAATGAAACAAGGTTATTAGACTCCAAATTTGGTTCCACTTATCAATCAGAAGTTACTAAAATCATGGAAGGAGAAGAGGCTTATTAAATGTTGCTTTTGTCAGTAACATAGACTTAACGCACGTGATGCACGGACACCCATACATATTTTACACACGAGCACACACCCACCACTCACGTGGAAAGAGGAAATGATTCCAAGGAATCTTTAGGATTAGATCCTATTTTAGTAAGTCAAATTTAGTGTGATAGTACAATTGTATTGCTTTCAGATCCTAACTCTTACCTACCAACCCTAAATTCAAGGAAAAATAGACGCCTATTCGGTAGGGGAGGGTCACCATGTTCGTACCATGTGAATGTTGACCAAAAAAGGGAGGAAAAAAGAGACAAATGGCTAGAATAAGTAAAAAACAAAAAAAACACCGTTGGCAAAGAAGAGAGAGAGAGTGTATTACTCTTCCTGTTTTTTTTAATGCATCGAAGTAACTTTAATTTTGACTATTAATATCTTTAATTGTCTATTAGTAAAAATTGTAACAAAATTATATTATGAAAGTAGATATTGTGACGAATATAATGATATATTATATAATATGGAGTAACATTTACTTATTTTATAATAGCAAAAAAATTAAGTCAAACATAGCATGTGAATAGTACAAAAGTCAAACTGATGGATTTAAAAAAACAGAGGATGTAGTGACTACTGACTAGTGAGATGTTTTATTTCAAAAAATACAGTTTCTCTCAGTGAAAATCGATTGTCATACGACATTTTCATTATTAAATTAACAATTTTTCATTAATCAGGGCTCAAAAGTTGATGATGATTGAATAAATTGTTAATTTATTTACGAAAATGTCATGTAATAAACAAAAGCTTAGAGTAACTAGGACAAGCTCGTTTTATTCTCACAACTTAATTCGGCCAAAGTTAACAAGTTAGACACTTTAAGAGTTAAGAGTAAGGGAATTTCCCTTAAAATACCTCTAGCAGAGATTGAAACTAGCATTACATATTTGGGTTAGAAAGAGATTATAAAGATAGAGGTCATAGAGGGGTGAGATGAAAGCGAGGAAATGACCCTAGCCATCCCTACTTTCAGTTCCACACCGCCCCCAAGTGTGCTATACAACTTTGTATGCATTTTCTTGAAGGATGAAAGAATCAAATACTAGTATAAAGAATATGATGTACCACCAATTTAAGGCGACTAAACATTAATAACCACCCGTGTTCTATTCGGTCATTACGACATTTTATCACACCTGTGTTCTAGAGGGACATTTAGATTGTTGAATATAAGAACAAACACAAAGCTGCTTAATGTGCTACTTCAAGAAGCTCCAAAAAATTGATCTACGCCCGTCAAAAGAAATCAAACTGATCTATGTGCAACTCATATATTCTTACATTCTACTAAACATTTATATTGTTGTAATCTCCCAGTAAATACTCCTACAGGTCTACTAATAAGGTCTACAGATTATTGATCCCAAACACAAAAAGGGTCTCAGCTTCTTGGGTTATAAAAGAGCAATCTGAGTAAAAAAGGCCTCAGGATTGTTTCGGACCTGAAAGGAAGGTTCTATAACTGCTGCTTCTCAGCAACGATATTCCTAAACTCAAAAAATTCATGGCACCACTGAATTCAACAAGCCAAGCTTTTCAATCACATGCTTAAAAGGTCGGCCAAAATAAGAAACAGAACAAGCAGCTGCATGTCCCCTGCAGCTACCAATCTAAAGTCCACAAATCTTATGCTGCCTTATATTCCCAGAAAAAGCCCAAGGGTCACTCTCCAACTCGGACCCAGGGATGTCATAGATCGTAGCTGCTACTCTTCTCTGACACAAGCACATTCAAATTCATCAATCTCAACACCAATACTCCTCATGTCACACTGAGAGCAGTACTTACTTCTAGGCTGTCTCAAATCCCAGATCTTATCAGCGGCCATTTCCTCCCATGCCATTAGAAATTTAGCTAAAAAAACAAGGCCAGTATGCAAATTCGCCACTGATGAATGAATAATAAGGGCAATGAAGGCCAAAGATGTGAAAAACAAACTACCAGAGAGGATTTCATCAGCTTGGCTGCACAAAAACTTCACGTATATACTCGTTGAAAAACGAATAAAGCAAAAGCCTGTCAAAACCTCTGCCTCCACTCTGACTGGCAGCAGCAATGACAATACTGGACCACAACCATCACCTTCAGAAAATGTTGTTGGCAGCAACTATGAGCTAATACTTCGCCACCATATAATATAGCCAGAACAGGAATAGTTGCAACTTCAAATTCAAAAGACAGCCACTCATGCAACTATAGAAACAGCAATTCAAAGAAGATACAAAAGAGTCTCAACTATCTCAGACACACTCCTGATGCAGAATATCCAGTCATGGGCAGAAATACTACATTAATTGTGTTTTACCAGTCAATGCTGACAGCTAGAAGTGTTGGAAGTACACTCAACCGCTTCCATATGTTGCATCTTTGCTATCAAATGCTGCTGAATTATCCAAAACGTCGAAAAAAAAAAACTCTGCAGAACACACAGCTTATCTAGGCAGAATCTGAACAGATGCAAGCCAAGCATAGGAAACGATATCCAACATTTCTGCAGCTACTTAGGAAACAAAGCTCTAAACTGAGTAGTTCAGATAAATAACAGTTTGCACAGCATTTGAGCAAAACCAACAATGATATCAACGCCGGCTGTTTCTCCGAGGAGCATCATAAGGGTGAGCCCGGTCTCTAAAGCTTCCTTTGTCATAGCGAGTTGGTCCACCAGCAGCATACCTATCACCGCCTCTAACACCTCCATCCCTTTCATAATCCCTATCTCGACCATATCCATTTTGGGGATATCGATCCATATATCTGTCGCTTCCAAAACGATCACCAGCAGGCGGGTACCTTTCAGTGCTGTAGCGATCACGGGACCCATACCCATCTCTGTTCTCCAAACGATCTCTACTGTCATAGCGCCCCCCAGCAGCACGATCATAATAACGATCATAATCACGATCTCCCTGCAGACCAGATCTACCAAATTCAGACTGTGAAGAATACCTGCCGCCACCACCACCACTCGACGGGCAATCCCTAGCCCAGTGCCCTGCACGACCACACTTAAAGCACTCGTCAGATCGATCCCCTAGTCTATCTCCTCCTCTGTAGCTCTCCCTAACACCTGATCTACGATCTCCACCATAAGCATCATACGGATCTTCAGCTCCCAATCGTGGCTCTGCTTTGTTCACTGAGATAACCCGGCCATCCAACTCTCTACCATGCATACCCCTTATGGCATCTTCCATGGCTCTGCGGTCAGCATATGTTATGAATCCAAATCCACGAGGACGACCAGTCTCCCTGTCCACCATCACCTAAAATGACCATGTATTTATCATATTACAAACGTTACAAAATGTTTATAGTTATGCTAATATAATTATAAGATCATCAATAAGATTAAAGCATGGGACACATAAAAATGATTATGCAAAAATATAATAATAATAGAAAAAAAAAGGGTATATTTAATTCTTATAATCCATATAACAGAAGACAAAAGATTTGCAATGCTGAAAGTCATAAAGTCTGTATCATATGTCACTGAAGTGATGGACAAAGGTCACACGACAAGCACAAAATCTACAACCCCCCAGATCAAAGAGCTTCAAGTCGATCATACAGAAACCAGAACCAGCCAATTTTTATTGGATCTCTGCACATAACCCATTCACATACATTTATGCCAACTGAAGAAGTCAAGAGTAAAAATATAATACATCTTTAACATCCATATAGTGCATTTTTTTGCATTAGTCTTCTTCACAAATTATTAACATCCATACAATGCATCTTTCTATGAAATAAAAGTGTTGTAGGAAAAATACAATTGTCAGCATCCAATCTTGTCTAATGAAATTCAGGCACACGACAGGGATAAGATTGTTACTAATGCACTCAAAGTTCTTCAGCATTAAAATTACAGTCACTTTAATTTATTTACGAAACAGGAAATCAGAATTTGCATGACTGGAAGATTCAGTGACAGTTTATAGACATATAAAAGTTCTGAGACTGTATTCTTAACTATTCCTATAATATCAAAGTCAATAAATGCACTTTCTCTTACCTCTACAAGCATCTTTATTTTCTATAACTCGTAATATACTCCTTGTCTGAAAAGGGGGGAAAAAAAAATCATACCACCCTGATTTGACATAATTAAAGATATAGCATGGTTTTAATTTAAAAAATATAATAAAAATAAAAATTCTTCAATATAGTTGAAGCATACTCAATTGGGGTAGAAGTATCTGGAAAGTCCAATAATATTGACTCAATTTTTTGGGATGGTGACATACATGACATCTCAAGTTATTAAATGGGCTACAATTTTCAAAAGTGGAATTTTGTTTTCTTTATTTATGCCCTTTATACTCCCACATCTCTCAGAATGAAGGCTAAAAAAACACACACACAATTCTGGACATGCTCAATCAGTTTATTTTTTGAATATTTCCACAAGTATTGAAAAATGAGTTTATTTGCCATGCACAATTACATAGTAGAGACAATTATTTAGAAAGGGAAAAAATAAATGCTTTTATGGTGGGAAAAAAATTGCACCAGCCGCACACACACATGCACGCACATGCACACTTACAAACGAGAGGAGAATTAATAATGTGTGTAATGTGGCCAAAGAAAAAACCATGGTTCTCTGTTTACTTTTTCAAGTCCCACTAACTCTTGCCTTGTAGATGATTTTCCCATCCATACCCTAATATATGCTACATTCAATACTCAAAAATTAAGTGGTTACACACATAAGCAAACTCCTCAATTTCTTGCTCATGGGTTTTTCTTCAAAATTGCATATCCCATATGCTGCCAGGATAAAATGCAGACACTGAAACACCATGTAGAGAAGATAAACTGAATAGCAGTAGATAGTGGACACATAAAGGCTATGAGCAACTCCCAAAAGAAATTATGCTTTCCATATCCTAATTAGATCCTTGCCAAAGAATTGAAAAGTGGAGCACGTGTGAGAAAATTCCAGCTTCTTCCAGAATCACGAGCCTCCCACCCATTTTGACATAAGCCATACTTGCTCTTGGTGACATTATACCAAAGTGAACAAGGTTCAAATAGGAACCTCCACAAGGACAAAGGAGAAAAAGCAACCAAACCACCATGTGCACTAATTTTATTTTAGGCTATCTTATAACACCCATTTAATAAAGCTGATTACCAATGCTTCAATATCTTAACACATGTAAAAGGGGTATACTAGACACAATATAATAAAAGAGCCAAGATGTTGAAATGTCAAAGTAATAGTTTGATGTCTAAAAAAAGAATCACCAATAAAGAGGTTTTATTTTGCATGGTTCACATATATTTACAAAGAACATAACTCATTGACAACCAGCCTGTACTACCTAACACTCAAAAGTAAAAATCAAACAGCATGTCCAAATATTTAGTACAAATAATAAACTATCTAACGAAGGGATCACAATCTATTGATATATCATGCTATAGATATCAAAGATTTCAGACGTAAAAGTAGCCCACTCGAGATGATCTAAGACGAGCTAAGATAAAGTTCAAATCAAATCTCACAGTACCGTCAGATCATAATTCACTAGTTACATCTTACATGAGCATCCGGTTCACAAGTTACCATAAATCATACATTACAGATTTAAAAATAACGAAGGGGGGTTTTATTGAAACAGAACTGATTGTCGCTTAACCAACCCACATTTTTCTTTTTCATTGAAAACCATATTGAAAATCTATGAGATTAATGTATAAAAATACACTTGAAAATTCTGTATCAAAATTTAAGGCAACAAAGACACAAAAATCTTAGACGGCATTAGAGGACAAAAGTCACAACTATAATGATTAAGTGAATGACCTGTAACATCCATCTAATATTCTCGTCTACAAACAAGCATATCACACTCTATGGGCAGTAAAAACCAACCCCACAAATGCTCTATTATATTCATCTTAAAAAGAGTATATTCAAATGAAGATTACCATGTTCAATTCAAAATTATAGATAAGTTCAGTAGGTAAAGGGTTTTCACGTAAAAAGAACAAAGGTTGGTCCCATTCGTTTTCTCACAAGCCTCAAAATATAATAGGTAACTGAACCAATACTAAAAGTTTCTTAATGAAACCAGCAAAATTCTTGTACAAACTAAAAAGTATCAGAAAATATTTCAGTCATAACTCATAAAATCATAGTTCAGTTCAACACTCTAATTTCATTGTACTAAAACATAACAAAGACAAGCAAAATAGGATGAAAAATAGAGTCAGATGACGAAACAAATTATCCATATACATAGCCCAAAAAACCATATGATTGGACCCTTCTACATCAGCTGGTCACCCTGCTTTTATAGTATCTATCTATGTTATGCGACAACTTCTAAATGCAAGTTAAATCACAAATTAGCATTTCTGGAGTTATTAAATTCTCATTTCAGTAGAAAACTCTAATAAATATCAGAAATTTCAATTAATATTAGAAATACATCCAATGCAATGCATCAGTTACTTGTACTTATAAGAAAAGCCCAAATGAACAAAACCGATGCATTTACCTACATAAACCAAACGAAAAGCCAAATTTCCAAAAAAATTTCAACCAAAATCAGAACATAGTCTCCCTTGTATCCAAGTATTTTCACATGGACCTAGCTTGTACCAATGACAATCTTTCCAACAGCTTGTACAAAGTTTTAAAATTGGAATACTATTTCTAGTAAGCATGTCCAAAGTGGATTTTTTTGCGATTCAGACAAGTTAAACTAAACTTAACAACAGTTGCATTCCAATCATCACTCCACCAACCGAACTGACAGAAGGATTATCCTCACCAATTGGACATAAATTTGTGTAATCAACCAACCAACAATATGCCTAAAACTCGTGTTTGAGTCTCGTAACCCGATATTAATCTATAGTTTCAAGCCCAAATAAGTTGATACATCCACTAATATACAATCATCAAACAAAATAAGCAGAACAATAATGAACAATGAAACAATAATTGAGGTTAACAGATAATTAAAAATCACAATTGCGAGGCAAAATTGCTAATAAACAATTACAATCAAATAATAAAATTTAAAAAAAAAAAAAAAAAAAAATGCGACTTGTTAGCAATTACCAAACAATCAAGGATTTTGCCATAACGAATAAATGCATCTTCTAAGTGCCTTTGCGATGTATTCCAACCTAACCCTCCAATAAAAATACGATAACCATCTCTTGCAGCCATTTTTTCCAATTTCCTACAAAACTTCAACCGAAAAACTAGAAATTAGGATGAAAATTACAGAGAAAGAGGTGTAATTCGTATAGTTTGAGAAATTAGAGGTTAATTTGGGGGGAAATTTGGTGAAATTGAGAGGGTTTTACAAACCCTAATAGGGTGGTTTAGCAGAGTAAGGGAGTTCACCAACTTCGAACTTACCACAGTAGCCAGTTGCCAGTATGTAGTATGCTGCCCGCAACTTCGTCAACTTCAGTTCGATTGCTCCTTAATTTATTCCTTCGTTCCTTTGTTTGGGAGTCAATAGTGATGTGCAGGCCGGGGTGGTTCTGAGCATGTGTAGGGTGGTCGATCGCACAAAGCCCCTAAGTGAAACTACTCTAAAAGGGTCCCGATTTTTGAATTTAGTAAGATATTTATCCTAAAAAAAAATAATTTTAGGGCTCAATTTAACAAAATTGCACCGGGCCACTTTTAGTGTTAGCATTTGTAGCCCCGCCTCTGTGTGTAGGGGTGTCATTGTGTCAATTCCGGTAAACAGTTTCGGGTTTGGGTTGGGTTTATCAGTTTTGGGTTATAACGAGTCGGTTTATAATGGGTTGAAATGATTAGCGGGTTGATTTGGGTCGGTTTTGAAAATTCTCGGGTCAGTTCGGTTTGGTTTTTTTTATTGCAGTTTCTATTCGGTTCGGGTCCTAATCGGGTCGAGTTGTAGTTGGTTCGGGTCATAATCAGTTTGGGTTGAACCGGGTCGGTTTGAAAACGGGTTTAGCCAATTTAAAGTGGATTTCGATACAAAACAGTTCGGGTTCTAATCGGTTCGGGTTATAATCGGTTCAGGCATAATCGGTTCGGGTTAAACCGGGTTGGTTTGAAAATGGGTTTCGGTTCAAAAACAGATTAGGTGAAATCAGGGGTCCGGTCATTATCGGTTCAGGTCATAATCGGTTTGGATTGAACTTGGTTGGTTTGAACACGGGTTTACCCACTATGCGAAAAAAGGTATTTAGCGCCGGTTCAAACCCCCCTTTGCGCACCGGTTTTGAACCGTTCCAGATTTGAGGGATGCCAAATCTCTGAAGATTTCACACCGATTCAAAATCGGTGGCTATTTAAAGATTTAGCACCGGTTAACCATGCGAAATACCCTCTTTGGCACCGGTTAACCGGTGCTAATTACCCATGGCGCTTTTTTTTTTTTTTTTTTTTATAATTTCAATACAATAGGCACCGGTTTGAAGCCTGAACTGGTGCCTTTAACTGTGTTTTATTTTTTTTTTCGGCAATAAATAATAATATTAATACTAATATTAATAATAATAATGAGAACATGTACATCCTGCATTAATTCTACCATTATTATATTATAATAACAATAATAATACTTATTATTATTATAATATTATAAATAATAATAATAATAATAATAATTTGTAAATTGAAATAATAACAATACATAGATATTAATTAATAATCCCAAATGCAATACTAATTACAAACAATACTAATTAAAAAAAGGTGTCATAATTACAAACAATACTAATCAATAATGTAGTTAACAAGTTCAAATAGAAATGATATTTACAAATTAAATGTGATGAAGGACGCCAACATGTCTCGAACTTTATTAAGTTCTTTGCTCGTCAACGGACCTCCCTTTTGTACCTTGCAAAACTTGGAATAAACAAAAAGTATGTTAGAAATAATTACTTAGGTTATGCATGTAAAAATACATTTACAAGTTCAGTTAGGCAAAAATTTATTACTTAGACCTATATGACTACTAGGATGCCTATTTCCTGCATTTCTTATCAAATGAACTCATTCTTTCTCATAACATGTCAACATTACTTAGTTATAGGTGGCTAAGACTTGAAATCACATGAAGAGAGCAATTTAAGGGTTTTGGGAATCATTTTCATCCAAAATAGCCCAAATAAGGCCTATTTGACTACTGGAATGCCTATTTCCTATATTTCTTGTCAAATGAACTCATTCTTTGTCATAACATGTCATTATTACTTAGTTATAGGCGGCTAAGGCTTGAAATCACATGAAGAGAGCAATTTAAGGGTTTTGGGAATCATTTTCATCCAAAATAGCCCAAATAAGGCCTATTTGACTACTGGAATGCCTATTTCCTACATTTCTTGTCAAATGAACTCATTCTTTGTCATAACATGTCATTATTACTTAGTTATAGGCGGCTAAGGCTTGAAATCACATGAAAAGAGCTATTTAAGGGTTTTAGGGTTCATTTTCATCCAAATTGGCCTAAGTAAGGCCTATTTGACTACTAGGATGCCTATTTCCTACATTTCTTGTCAAATGAACTCATTCTTTCCCATAACATGTCATTATTACTTAGTTATAGGCGGCTAAGACTTGAAATCACATGAAAAGAGCTATTTAAGGGTTTTAGGGTTCATTTTCATCCAAATTGACCAAAGTAAGGCCTATTTGACTACTAGGATGCCTATTTCCTACATTTCTTGTCAAATGAACTCATTCTTTCCCATAACATGTCATTATTACTTAGTTATAGGCGGCTAAGGCTTGAAATCACATGAAAAGAGCAGTTCAAGTGTTTTAGGACGCATTTTCATCCAAATTAGCCCAACTAAGGCCTATTTGACTACTAGGATGTCTATTTCCTACATTTCTTGTCAAATGAACTCATTCTTTCTCATAACATGTCATTATTACTTATTTAAAGGCGGCTAAGGTTTAAAATCACATGAAAAGAGCAGTTCAAGTATTTTAGGACGCATTTTCATCCTAATTGGCCCAAGTAAGGCCTATTTGACTACTAGGATGCCTATTTCCTACATTTCTTGTCAAATGAACTCATTTTTTCTCATAACATGTCATTATTACTTAGTTATAGGCGGCTAAGTCTTGAAATCACATGAAAGAAGTAATTTAAGGGTTTTAGGGTTCATTTTCATCCAAATTGGCCCAAGTAAGGCCTATTTGACTACTAGGATGCCTATTTCTTACATTTCTTATCAAATGAATCCATTCTTTCTCATAACATGTCATTATTACTTAGTTATAGGCGGCTAAGGCTTGAAATCACATGAAAGGAGCAATTTAAGGGTTTTAGGGTTCATTTTCATCCAAATTGGCCCAAGAAAGGCCTATTTGATTACTAGGATGCCTATTTCCTACATTTCTTATCAAATGAATTCATTCTTTCTCATAACATGTCATTATTACTTAGTTATAGGCGCCTAAGGCTTGAAATCACATGAAAAGAGCAATCTAAGGATTTTAGGACGCATTTTCATCCAAAATGGCCCAAATAAGGCCTGTATGACTACTATGATGCCTATTTCTTACATTTCTTATCAAATGAACTCATTCTTTCTCATAGCATGTCATTATTACTTAGTTATAGGCGGCTAGGGCTTGAAATTACATGAAAAGAGCAGTTCAAGTGTTTTAGGACGCATTTTCATCCAAAATGGCCCAAGTAAGGCCTGTATGACTACTATTTCTTACATTTCTTATCAAATCACATGTTACGAGCAAATAAACTAAGTCAACGGCATACCTCATCAAGCTGTAGTGTGTCTGTACAACGACTCACTATGTCAAACATGAATCTCATCACGTATAGGCCACAATCAACTCCGTTATCTTGTTGTGCGCACTAGCATAGGAACAAAGTACATGAATCAAACATGCATTGATAGCAAATTAGTAACATTTTACGCATTGTTTATTACAAAAATCACAATATCATGTGGCATTACCATCAGTGATTTCCATGTGGGACCTTGAGGAGCTCGACAATTTATCTTCTTCATAACACTATAGAAAAGTAAGGTAAAATTTGATTAGTATGACTAATAAATGAGTTAGGTAATGATAATCAACACTAGGTAGCTTTATTTACTTTTGCAGTATGGGCTTCACGAGGAGCTTTTTTGGATGAGGCAATCGAGCTGAATCAAAAAGGAAGATTGTGTTACTGGAAACACAAATCATCAGCAGGGTCCAATGCAAACTACATAAATTCACAATAGACAAACAAATCAATTATTAGCCATGTACAACATATAATCAGGGGAAACAAATGAAATTGACATGGTTAGACGTACTCCTCATAACATGGGGCGAATATGAACTTGTCTCCCGCACGCACTGATTCCTTGATACTCCGTTCAACATAGTACAACACGTTAGGGTGGTAGCCTAAGATTCTAGTAGTGGAGATCTGCTCGGGGCATAACCACCCAACTTGACACGGAGAATCAATGTCACGTAAGTGCTCCTGTAGTGCTCTGCATGCATGATAATAGAATATTAATGGAAAAATAAACGACAATCACCACTAATCTGAATAACATACTTTGAGCGGCATTGAATTGCCTCATGAATGTTTGAATGAGGGAAATGTTAAGCATTGATCCACTTAGAAATTCCTTCACATCTTCTTTGCTGAGCCATGGAATTGCATCGTCATCATAGTGGAACAATGCCTTAGGTAGTGCAACTTGAACGGGAGTGTCACTAGGCAACATACTAACACGGTTGTGTAGATAAGTTAAATCTTTAGAGAGCGATTGAAGGACCGTGTCTGCAACAAGTGGAGTAGCTTGCATAGCTGAACCTCTCGAAGAGTTCTTCTTCGACGCTTTTTCACTCTCCGACCGTTGTTCACTCCTCTTCTTTGGCACCGGTAAATCAATGCTTTTAGGCTGCTCCACCCTCCTTCTCTTTGAAGTTTGGCTTTTCTTAAAAATCTGATAAAGCAAATCACGCAATTGGTTAGAAAATAAATCCATCCAACTCTTTGGAAGACAACCGGGCATAGAGTAAAGAGTGAACCCAAAATCTTACCTCGTTGATCAACCTTACCCAATCACATGGCCATTGCACAAAGCTACCTTTCGCTTCCCAAAGTGTAGTAATCCCATCCTCCTCTACGGGCACCGGTACTCGAACCCCGCAACCACAGAATTGATCCTGACCGAGTAATGTTGTGGCCTAAGCGGTCGCAAATGGACCGTACCACTGGTCGGTTGTGCACTAGCATATGCAACCAACTGCAAAGGTCCACTGTTTGATAGCTCCGAGTGTAGAAGTGCACAATGGGTCTCTTCCTACACCAATTTGGAAGATCACTTATAATTAAGAACCAAACATATCACAAGTGTCCAAGCATCCACCAACAATAAAAAAAAACCGAAAACAAAACAAGCAAAGGCAAAAAAACTTTTCTAGTTAACACCACAACACCGAACTCACCTACACAAATAAGCAAATAGAAACTGAAATCACACTCAAACAGCAAACAGCAAACAGCAACACAAACA